CCGAACTTCTACACGATCCAGAGGAGCAGTATGATCTCGGGGGTCTCCTGCATGTTAACTGCTCCGCCTTGTGCAAGGCTCACCAGGGACTCGTGTCAGGTTTTGTTAAGTTCTGTGCAGGGCTGGGTTCCAAGAGGGCGGGGAGCTCGTGATGCGGAGATCCCCTCTCCAAGCCCATGCACCAAATGCTGATCTGTGAGCCCCGAATAATTCGGACTTTGGAGCCTGAGCCCTATATCCTGAGGTGCGAATTCACGGTTTGTATTGTCGGGTGCTTTCGCAATCGCTGTTGCTCGAGGTCTACAGCATGTGTTGACAGGCTGGATGCAGTGGTATCCTTATCAGTGATTTGTTGTTCATAATGTTAGTTGGATTACGGCATCGTTCATTCGGATAATACCCCTGTTGCAGCAGCGTCTGGACATATGTCGTCATCTGCACCAGTGAGTCTGCATGCAGTGACGTGACTAGCGGTTCAGCCATAGCCTGCACCCGCTGGCACAGAAGCGCAGCCGATGTGTGTAGATGGCACGGTGCAAAGCAGGCCGCGACAGGACAGATCTTACTTGCCCAGAAAACATTACAGTAAGAAACCATTTGTCATAGTGGACAGATCTTTCGTTCAACGGCAGAAACGACTGCAGCAGGAACTCCTCCACGGCGCGGAAGCAAAACTGCACAGCTTGATTCGCGAGCTGTGCACCGATATCCAGGACGATTTCGGTTGGGTATAACGAGGCTTGCTTCCTTGGAGATAATGAGCTTCCTTCGGGTAGCCTCCATCCAAGCCGGCGGTGGAAGAATGCAGGCTTTCGTTTTTGAGATTTCAGTCGTATAGACTTGGCACATGGCGGCGGCAGGCGCGTGCGCATCTGACAGCATGACTGTGCGGTGGCCACACTCAGAACGTATGGTGATGCTCTCTTGTGTGTCAACTGCAATCGTGCTGTGTGCCTGCGACGCCCTGCACCCGTTCCAGCATAAGCCCAATCACATAGTTCTGACCCATCGATCCTGGCACGCAGCTATCTTCCAAGACATGATATCAAAACATTAAGCCGCGCACTCTTCAGTGTTCAGGGGTCTTACTAGCCAATGCTGACCGCACCTCGTCAATGACTTCTAGATCATGGTAGTCAGCCTTCGGTATACCCGTCATATGTGCTTCTGTATCAGGATGCCTCAGTGCCTATCCACGACTGGTGCAGCGAGCACCTTCCGACCATCGCAGTGCTCATTGGATCGACAGTCTATGCTACTGCTGCCACTCACACAAGGGTGCATGTTCGCTAGGTCTTTAGGTGGAAATATGTCAGTCGGTAAGTCAGCCAATCAATCAGTGGGTGCATAAGTAAGCAAGCTGGCAAGTAGGTAGGTCAGCGAGTAAGTAAGATGGTTACCATTACTAGGATCATTACCACGGACTCAGGCATGTCCAATGTGTACATGACAGGTTAGTTTACATCTGGGCATGTATGTGAAAGCAAGAGGCAGCAGCTGTCTGACTGTCTACATGTTTGCGTAGAAACAACACACACACACACACACACACACACGCCTGTGTGCATGCATCTAGAGGTCTCTGTTTGCATTTGCCGTATTTTTTGGCGTGCATCATCTTCAGACATGATTACTTGTATATGCGTCGCGCCAATCGAAAACCTCATGAATCGGCCTCTTACTTCACAGGTACATCGCTAGACTCAGTAGGCAGCCAGGCAGACACATGTGCATACATATGCGTGTATATATATATACACACACGTACGCATACCCATGCCGATCCCCTTCCGTGTACGCATACATATACAACTCACCTACACATATACTTATATTTATACATTGGCATTCACATTCTCATATACGTAATTACAGCATGCACATTCTACATATACTCATGCATACATTTGAGAGGTCCGAAGATGCCTGAGGCCAACACCAGGACGTCTCAAGCATACCTACCTACCTACCTACC